TTCTGAATGTCTTATTTCTCCGTTCATTCCTGAAGAATACAAATTAAGGGTTGGCAAGTAATTTCCTTGAAATATCCTATTTTCTTCTTGCCTCCGTAATTTCTGATGAGAAATCCATTGTCAATCAAATTGTTTTTCTTCTGCAAATAGGGTATCATCATTTCTCTCTCATGCTTTCGAAAAAGTATGTGTCAGTTTTCAGACATTTGACTCTAATGTATTTTGGCATGAATTCATTTGAGTTTAACCTATTTGGGGTTTACTCAGCTTTCTGAATCTGTAAATCTATGCCTTTTGAACATATGAATAAACTTCAGACTTATTGCTTCAATAATTTTTGCAGCCCCTAGCTCTCCTGTGATTCCAATGATACAAATGCCAAATCTTTTGTTGTAGTTTCACAAGTCCCTGAATCTGTTTACTGTGTTCTTTGTGGTTCAAATTGAGTAATTTCCATTGTCAAGTTCACTGATGATTCTTTTCTCTGCCATTTCCATTTTGCTATGAAGTCATTGAGTGACCTGTTTCAACGTCTATATACTTAAGTGCTATATTTATATTTGATTCTTCTTAATATATGAGTATTTCCCCCCTTCTTTTTTGGCTGAGACTTTTGATTTATTTGCTGCAGCTATTGTCCCATTTGCTTGAAGCAGTCTAATGACAGCTGTTTTAATACAATTGCCAAACAATTCTAACACCCATGTTTAGTTGGTATTAGCTTCAGTTGACTCTACTTTCTCATTCAAATTGATATTTCCTGGCTGTTGGTGCTAAAAGTTCTTTTTTATTGTGTCTACCATGTCACTCTTTGAGTCCTGAGGTCCTTGCTCCCTGGATGGTCCTCTCTTCTTCTTGCACTTTTCAGAGTCTTTTATTTTATACTTATTATCCAATAATTTGACGAGCTCTGGTGGTGTGGTTGGTAGTAATTTAAGGACTGGACTGCTTACTAATTGCAAGGTTACTGGTTCAAACGCAGCTGCCAGAGAAAGTGGCGAGAAAGATGATGCTTTCTGCTCCTGTAAATATTTCAGCTGTGGAAACCCAGAGGGGCAGGTCTATTTTGTCCTGGCTGGCTGCTACGGACCAGACTGGACTCAATGGCAATGGGTTTGGTTTGGGTTTCAACCCAATGATCTTAGCCGTACTTAGAGGAGTTAATCGGGAAATATGCATCTGTTCCACTTTGTCTAAAACTGGAAGTCTGCTCAGGAGTTTTTCTAAAAAATAATGTTCTGTGTACCTGATAATTAAGGATAATAAATAGACACTATTAATAACTTTGGGTGTACACGTTCTCCTAGATCATGAGCTTAGTCTCATCTCCGATCATGCATGTTCATGTAGAAGGAAAAGAAACTACCCTCCCCACCTTTATATTGCTTATTTCTTTACCTGAGATGGTCTCCCTTCATTTTTCCATGTGCTCCTGTAAGAACCCAGCCAATAACCCTTTTTAACATCTCACCACTCTTTCTTGTACAGAGCTTTACCTTCTGTGCCCTGTATTTTAATTGCCCCATGATTTATTTTTCGTGATATGGGAACATGCCTCACATGTCTTTGGTAATTAGGATTAATGAACAGGATTCAAAGCAGGCTCTCAAAAATGGATTCAGATATTTTACTAAATATTAAAAATACAAAGGACCAAAAGAATATCAAATCCAAACCCTAAATTTTCAGATACAATGTATGAATTTCATCATTTAAAAGAAAAGAAACCAAATAACACACAAACCCCAAAGGAACACAATAAAGACAATAATGGGGTATCTTTTACATACTTTACAAAAAGCTAATCACTTTATTTACAGCTCATTAGAACCAATGATTACTTTGCCTTGAGAATAATCTTTAGTCTTATAGAAAGGAGAAAATGTGGTATTGTCTTAAGATAGGATGCTTATTTCTGGACACAACAGCTAACTTGCCTCAACCCTTCCTTGGGACTTTTTAATTAGTTTGCACAAAACAGCCAGTCCCTGGAGGTTTAACTCTAGCAATTTTCTAGTCCTCCAGCTTGGAAGCTATCTGACCTGAAAATTAATTTTCTTTCATGGTCTTCCATTATTCATTGCCTTTTCTCCTCAGAAACTTCAGAATCACAAATAAAAACTCTAACGCGGAGGCCAGGAAAAGTGTCAGGAAAGGCAGTATAAAACCCTAAAGAAAAAGGCCCTGGAGCAGTGGTTCTCCACCTTCCTAATGCAGTTCCTCATGTGGTGGTGACCCCCCAACAATAATATTATTTTCACTGCTAATTCAGAACTGTAATTTTGCTACTGTTATAAATCAGGCGACTCTTGTGAAAGGGTTGTTTGAACCCCAAAGTCGAGACCCACCGGTTGAGAACTGCTGCCCTAGAGATTTTACAAGGAGGTCTTAAGAACCTAACTGTGTATGGATCTCAGATTGGAGCTCATATTACAACTCCTTCAAGAGACCTTGCCCGGTCACCCACTTAATGTTGAACCTTCCCCACAATGCCTTACCCCCACCCCAAATCCTGCAATGCTTTTGTTGTCTTCATTACACTTAGCAGAACTGAACATTTCCTTGTTTGTATGTTCGTTTCCCAGTTGTCCCAATAGAAAGCCCTATGAGAACAAAGACCCGATCAATCTTATTAACCTAAGTTATCTCCAAAACCTAGAATAACTTAGAACACTTAAAAGACATTATGTAGTAGATGCTCAGTCAATGTTTACAAAAAAAATGAATGTAAGACCGTATAAAGAACTTTTTCAACGTTTTTTAAGTTTTTCCAGCCTACTTTGTAGACAATTGTCCATAATGACATTTTTAATTAGTGATGTAAGGTTCTCATTGATACTTTGCAGCCAGCACAAACTCTCCACTTTGCCCGATAGAAGAGTGACCTTGCCTGCCTGGTCACCTGGCATTTGCAGGGTCTGTGAGCTTTTAAACTAAGGGTTAGAAGGTGAGGGGTATGAGCAGAGCTCTGTAAAGAAAACGGCTATCAACGACACAAACAAACTAAGGTGGAACTGGGAAAAACAATATATAACTAAAATGGATACAGAGAGATAATGGGGAAAGACAGGTAAGTATTAAGGTAAAGTACCAATTGTGTTGTAAGAATTCCTTGTTACTGGTTCATTCACGCCCATGGTCAGTGTGTCTGAAACACCACAGTCTCACAAGTGGTCTACAGCAGTGCCTTTCAAACTGCAGAAGCATTACAGCTCACCTAAGGGCTTAGTATACCAAGCTACTACTCCCCACAGATTTGCACTTCTCAAAAGCTTCCAGCTAATACCATACTGCTGCTCTGCTCTGTGGCTCTCACTGGAGTAGCCAAGCTCTATAATTACACTGCCCAATGCAACAGATGAAAATATCACTAGTGTAACTCAGGAACTCACAGCAAATTGATTCCATGGTAGTGAGATGAGGTCTTGACTCAGGAGTGGAATTTTAATTAAAAAAGCAAACAATGAATTAAATTAAAACTTGAATAGCCACATGTGGCTAAGGTACTAGAGCACACAGATGAGAACAGCCTTCTGCCATAAACAGAAAGGTCTACTGGACAGTGCAACCCCGGTCGATTGGACTGAACTAGTCACGAAAGCTGCAAGCAGAAAAAGAGAAACAGAAAGCTGCTGCAGCTGATGCTGCCCGCCACCACTGGAGTGGGGACGGGGATAGAGCAGAACTCTTGACCCTCAGCAACTGTGCTTCCAACTCTAGCCGCAGTCTCTTTTCACCAGAAGCAGAAGGAAGTCATTTTTTTAAATTAAATACTTTTATTGGAGGCTCTTAGATCTCTTATCACAATCCACACAATCATTTGTTGTGTCAAGCACATTTGTACACATGCTGCCATCATCATTTTCAAAGAATTTTCTTTCTACTTGAGCCCTTGCTATCAGCTCATTTTCCCCGTCCCTCCCCCACAAACCCTTGATGAGTTATAGATTATTATTTTCATATCTTATATCATCCTCTGTCGTCCTTCACCCACTCTTCTGTTGTTTGGCCTCCTGGGAGGGGGTTATATGCTGATCCTTGTGATAGACTCCCTCTTTCTCTCCCCACCTACGACTAATCCTCCTGGTATCTCTATTCTCATTGTTGACCCTTAGGGGTTTATCTATCCTAGGTTCCCTGTGTTGCAGGCTGTAGTAGTATGCATGTTCTGGTCTAATCCGATTTGTAAGGTAGAATTGAGGTCATGATAGTGGAGAGAAGGAAGCATTAAGAAACTAGAGGAAAGCTGTGTGTTTCATCGGTGCTATACTGCACCCTGACTGGCTCATCTCTTCCTGTGACCCTTCTGAGGGGATGTCCAATTGTCTACAGATTGGGCTTTGGGTCTCCACTCCAGGCCTCCTCCTCCCCCAATTCACATTGGGTATGATTTTGTTCTAGGTCTTAGATGCCTGATACCTGGTCCCATCAACACCTCATGATCACACAGACTGGTGTGCTTCTTCCATGTGGGCTTTGTTGCTTCCCAGCTAGATGGCCACTTGTTTATCTTCAAGCCTTTAAGACCTCAGACGCTATATCTTTTGATAGCCGGGCACCATCAGCTTTCTTTACCATATTTACTTATGTACCTGGTTTATCTTCTCATTTTAAATGAGAAAACCTTTGCAAAAAGGTCTCCTAACCTGTTATATTGGGCCTGATCACAATCTGTATCACCTAAGAAGAGAAAAACTTACAGCAAGAAATCAGTTGATCAGTCAATTTTGATGGCCCAAAATGCTGATGGTTACACTGTCCGGTAAGAGAGGCAGAGGAATGTAGCCAAAGCAGCTGATAGGGCAAGCGGCTTCTTCAGGGGTCTGTTTGTTTTTCATCAAATAGTGGTATTATTTAAGTGCTATCATACCTACAAAGTCAGACACACTTATTTCCAGAAGGAAAGCAATAGAAATGCAAAGGAAAGGTTTTATCTAGCCATTTGCTGCTTTAAGTTATCTGTGACATTTTCATAGATATGAAGGACTGGCTATACTCACACTGAACACCTTGATGTCACTTCTGTTTCTTATTTCTTCTACAAGTGCCAGTGGTTTGCCTTTAGGGACTGGTATTGTGCCGAGGACTATGGTCCCTGGAGTAGACAGTGTCTGATGAACAGCTTGGATGAAAGTCTGACTGAAGAGTTCCATTTTCCCAATTTCATCGATGATACACACTCTCTGCCCTGGGCCAGCTGCCTAAGAATAAGAAAGGCATTCATTTGGAGGCCAAAGTTATAGTGATCAAAGTTCTCTCCCAGTCCCATTACTCACCAACCAATAGTCATGCCAGAATGTGTCATTTACTCTGGAAATCGGGAAATCATTTTCATAGCCACATGGAGCAGTTAGTTTTAGAATAATTGAGATCTGGGACTCCAGGCCACACTTAAGAATTTGTGCTGCCCATCCTGACCCACTAGGCCAAATAGAGCAGCCAGTCCAGAGAGGACCACATGGCCAACCCCACTATGAGACGAGATGCTCCTCACTGGCCCATGGCCCTGCGGGGGACAACACCAGGAACACAGTGTGGGA